CCCCCCCAATTATTAGAGGCTCACATCCTTCCTTATTCCCAGCAAGGACCTGGAGCCACTAGTAACTCATGATCGGCGCAGACCACCTACCATCTGTGTAGTCCTCCGATGTGAGGGATAAAAGGCTTTGAATGTCACTGTTCTCTGAATCTGGGGCTTCTTTGTGTGCCAGTCGGCTGTTCCCTGAGCCGGCCACCCAGGAAGAGGTGGTTGCCTGATGCACTATCACAGTCTCTGAACCCCGAGAGCCCCAGGCTTCACACAGTCCAGACTGGCCTGGGGCCTCCTCCTCTCCACCTGGAGAGGAGCAGGCCTCCTGGTCCTGTAGCTGCTGTTCCCTTGGCCCAGATCCTTCTGACAGCACAATCTGCACTCTGGGGTCAGCGGGCGGCACACAGTGACCGGAACTGCCGTACACAGCCTCCTCATATGACGGTAGTGCAACTTGGACTCCATCCACTATGATGGAGACCTGGTCCCCAGATACCCCCTGGTCACGCCTGTATCCGGAGGAGGAAAAGACAAAGGAAGAATTAAAATACACAGACAAATAAATACCGTAATACTGTACTAACACCACCAACCATTTTTGAGCACTTACTATGCGCCAGACACTACATGCTTTATATACTTGATCACACTGAATCCTCACTTGAGCCCTTTCAGGTAAAACTTCACCAACAATGCAGATAAGGCTCAGAGAAGTTAAATAACTTGCTCACAGTCACACATCTAGTAAAGGAGGAAGCTGGGATTTGAATCCAGTTCCACCTGCTTCCAGAAACTGTGCTCTTAACCTCTGGGTACACAGGCACCTAGCTCTCTGGTTCTGTGCAAAACTAGGAACCCAGAGACCTGGAAATAAAGCCACTCACTCAGCACAGCTAGAACAGAAGTGAGAAAGGATGAAGGATGAAGGATGACTACTACCTGTGAATACAACTAAAAACCATTGTCTGGATACTTAAATGATATGTAAAATATAACTCCATAAAGCTGTTTTTATCTTTTTTTATTTGTTTATTATCCTCACCTGAGGATGTGTTTATTGATTTTTAGAGAGGAAGGGGGAGGGATGGGAGGAAAAGGGGGAGGAGA